CCAGATGGGGAGAGGACATAGCTGAGGTACTTGACAGAGTCTTGGTGGAACTCACACTTTTCCAGCTTAGCAAAGAGGCTATGCTGGCAGAGGTGGCAGAGGACCTCTTTTATGTGTTGATGGTGCAACCCCTCATTGTGGGAGTAGATGAGGATGTCATCAAGGTAAACAACAACACAGACATCAAGCATGTCGGCAAAGATGCTGTTAACAAACTGCTGGCACATTAGTAAGACTGAAGGGCATAACCAACCATTCATAAGAACCATAGTGAGTGTGAAAGGTGGTTTTCCATTCATCACCAGCACTGATTCAGACTAAGTGGTAGGCATGGTGGAGGTCAATTTTACTATAGATTTTAGTGCAGCTTGGAGAATCGAGCAAGTTGGAGATGAGAGGAAGCAGGTAGCAGTCTTTCTTGGTGATTTTATTGAGTCCTTGGTAATCCACACAGAGGTGGAGTGAGCCATCTTTCTTCTTAACGAAGAGGATGGGAGCTCCATGGGTGGAGGTTGACTGTTTAATGAAACTGTAGCTGAGGTGCTCATCTATGAATGTGTGGAGCACCTCTAGCTCAGGTGGAGAGAGGGAGTAGACAGTGCCTAGAGGTGGAGAAGCCCCTTCTTCAAGATCTATATTTAATTGAAGCTGCAGTGTGGAGGGAGTTCAGTAGCCTTTGCTTTACTAAAGACATCAGCGAACTCATGGTAGTCAGAGGGTACCACAGAGAGATCAGGAGGTGCAGAGGGCATTGAAGAGGCTCGGAGCTTCATATCTTCTGGGCAGAGGTGCAAGCAGAACTGTGTGGAGCCAGGAAGGGCACAGGCATGGACAAAGGCTGCAGCTCCAATGAGAGAGATATGCAGAGCAGTGCATGGCAAGCCAGCCATTGGAGTAGGTGGTGGAGCTGATGTCAGAGGAGTGGACAGAGCAGAGGGTGTCAGTACTGAAGCAGAGGTTGTGACAGAAGGTGACAGAGGTGCCAAGGGCATCAGCATTCTTTGTATCGATGGTCAGAACAAGATACTGCTCAGTACCCAGCCAATTGATGGATTGTAGTGGGTGAGCCAGTTGTGTCCCAAGACCAATGAACAGGTGGAATCCAATGGAGTTACATAACAGGAAACAGATGTGACACTGCCAGAGGCAAAGTGGATGGAGAAATCTACTACTTGGGAAATGGCAGTATTACTAGTACCATCAAACAGTCAGAGAGGAATAGGCAGAGAGACATTTTTTGTTGGGATTTTATATTTTTTAACTAAAGAGGGGTAGACAAAACAGTGTGAAGAGCCTGAGTCAACCAGAGTGGGGAAAGTATCTATGGAAAAATCAGGAAGAGAAATAATCAGATGAAGAGAATTGGGGTCAGAAAGAGTGGATGCATTGAGGTGGACTTCTGCACAGATGGGATCAATGCTTCCTCCAGGACATACAGGCTCCCTGGAGGAGCAGGTTAATTTTTTGGCTCTGACCTCTCTGCAGGTGGAGTGGTCAGAGTGGCAGCCTTAGCAGCACAGGCCTTGGCAGAGTGGCCAGGTTCACCACAGAAGAGGCACAGCCCACCAGTAAGGCAGTGGAGCCACTCAGCTGCCATGAGCTTGCCATCTTTTCTGAGGAGATGGTTGAGGTTGGACTTTGGCACTTTGGCCTTTTTGGAGTCAGACTTAGGGGCAGAGGATGATGTGGAGGGTTTTGGCTTGGAGTCTGATGTGCAGAGCAGAGTTCTTTCAGCAGGAGGTGGCTTGGTGGAGTGGGAGACATTCTCAGTAGCATGCATCTACTGTCTGGGCCAACTTGTGGAGTGCATGAAGAGTTGGCAGGCTTGCTGACATGGGACACTTCATCCTTGATGCAGTCAGGGAGACCTGAGTAGAAGTGGTGGCAGAGTGTGCCTTCACCATAGTCTTTTACCTGAGAAGCCCAGTGGTTGAACTTGTCAAGTCCAGGCCTACTCTGACAGAAGGAACTGAACTCTGACTGGCAGAGTGTTGGCAGGAATGAAGTCCACCAAGACAAAGGCAGAGTGGGGTGAGGGCATTTGGTTTAGCTTGTGTGCTACCCCCTTGCATGATCTCAGCCCTCGTATTTCAGAGGGAGAGTACAGACAGAAAGTTGGAGGTAACTCCAACAGGCAGAAGATGGAGACAGAGGGAGTAGGAACTAAGTTGATATTCATACTAAAGGACACTGGAGTACAATACATGCTTTTATACCACTATGGAGGTACAGTAACTGGAATCAGAACTGACATACAGAGACTCATAAATTTTCAAGTAAAACTTCCTAGACAATGAATGAAGGGTAGATGGAGGACACACAAACAGGTAACATAGGATATCCAAAAAAGGAACAGTCCAGGTGCTGGACCATGCAGTGTGCATGCTGCCAGGGAGAAGTCCAAAGGGCAGTCACATGACTCCTCAGAGAGCAGTACATGTCTGGCAGTAGTCAGAGCAGAGATGACTGGTAAATGTCAGGGGGCAGGTGGAGTTGGTGTGGAGTGAGTGAGGACCTAGGATGAATCCATGGTCATGACAGAACTCCACTAAGTACTTCACAATATGTGGAGAGTCCTTCATGGTAAGATTTTCCAGATGCTGGATGGCATCAGCAGCAGCATCATGAGGGCCAAAGTTGGTAGTGAGCTCATGGAGGAACTTGCAGTGGTCATCCATCCACAGTGGATGATTAAGGTAATCATCTGGATTGAGGAGATCTGGTTTGAACCAGGCCAATGCCATGCCCTTAAGGTAGGATTGCACATATGTGGCCTTGGCTCAGTCAGAGTGGAATGCCTGAGGGTGGTCCTGGAAATTGAGCTCACATTGGACCAAGAACTCACAGAGTTTTTTAGGGTTGGACCCATCAAAGGTATCTGGCTCATGGACTTTGGTTTGCAGAGCAGAGTCACCAGAGCACTGGTTGGAGCAGGCTAGGGCATGGATGGCCTGGGTCAGAGCAAGGACAAGGTCATCAAGGGGATCCATGAGGTTGTCAGGATCATCCTTGTCATCAGGCCCATCACCAGGGTGGTTGTCAGGATCATCAGGGTCATCATCAGGGTCACCCAGTCCATCTCTGCCAGGGTGAATGATGATAGGAGGTGGTGGAGAGTGGAGGGAGGACTGCTGATGGATGGAGGGTGCAGTACATGAGGTGCTGTCTGGAGCTGGGTTGGAGTTGGAGTGCCCCCTGGAGGAGAAGCTCTGGAAGGGCTCAACAACTGAAGGAAGATGTTGGGGGTTTGCCAAGACTGTAGCAAGGGCCTCAGTAGCATCCCATTGTTGCAGATGTGTCATGGGAGGCATAGTAGATGTGGTAGGGGAAGTGAGAGAGCTTGTACAAGTGAGAGTACAAATATATTGTCAAGGTCACACAACACCCCTGAATTCCTCTTAGGGCTGAGTAGGAGTGGGTTGGGCTGTGGAGTACAGCAGTCAAAGTCTGAGGCAAATCTGACCACTGGGTGGTGAGATATTCAACAAACAGTGAGCAGAGGGGTATGGAGGAAAGTTTTGGAGACAGAGGTCAGAGGTCGGATGAGAGGGTGTTGGGTTCAGCTAGTGCACTGCCCTCTTGTGCGAGCTCAGCCCTCATATTTCAGAGGTGGAGTGGATTCAGAGGGAGTGGAGATGAAACTCCAGAGGGAACTGAGAGGGAGTTGAAGGTGGGGACTTTATTGATATTCATACTGATTACATCAGAGTACTATGTGGCCTTATATATGATGTAGGTCAAGGGCAGTGCAGTGTAGAATGCAAACCAATAAGTGTATAACAGGTTAGCAGTCCCTCCAACACAAGGGATAGAGGGTAGGGATGATGGGGACCTTAACTGAGAAAAGGAATCTACTACAACAAGGAAGAGAGGGTAAATATCAAAGGAGTGGAAGAATGGAGAAAAACTGACATGAGGGCAGAACCCTATCTGGAATGCAGGGCCACAAGTCTGGCAGCCCACTGAGCTGACCAAGGCCTCAGAGGAGGCACAGATGAAGGTCTGGCATCCACATGACCAGCATGAGGGTGGAGTTGAGTGGAGTTGGTCAGAACATGGACAGGGGACCTCAGAGAGGTGTGGAGATGTGTTGGGAGGGTTGGAGGAGCACAGGAATGCTTCAGAGGAGGGTGGAGAAGCATGGGAATGCATTGGAAGAGGGTGGAGAAGCATGGGAACATGTTGGAAGAGGGTGGAGTAGGTGTTAGGGGCTTATGTCTGTGTCATGGTCATGACAGGTGGCAGGGGTCCCTACTCCTGAAAGTGCAGCTTATATTAGCATTGAAATAGCTGCAGAAATCCTAGGCCCCTTGTTCCTCTGACAGGTTTAATCCACAAAGTATCCTTTAACCTATACATCCCATGTGCTGAAGTGCCAGATTGACCTCCATAACATTTTCAGCCTTCCAAGTACTGATTAGTCCCAGAACACATCAGGCATGGGGGGAGAAACAGTCCAGGGAATGACTGACAGCAGGTTTTTTAAGTGACTGATGGTTCTGAGAGCATGTTATACTGATGGCACTGTGGTGGCCACCACTATCCACAGTAAGATGTACCTCTGATGAAACATGAAGATGGGCCTGTCAGTAATCTCATGTATAGCATCACAACATATGGATGGGCCCTTCAGTAGTATTACATCATGAAATCAACACATTACTATTTTTGACTTTTTCATGACTTTTTTTGACTTTTTTGTGACAATTGTGACTATTTATGACTTTTTGGGAAGGAATCTACTATCTGTACTTTTTTTTTGACCATATACAGCATTTTGAAGAATAAAAAGAGAACAGAATCTATTGAGACAACTAAGTGACAATATATCTAAGCCAAGAAGACTAGAAAATGTCTGAAAATTCAGAGATATTGAGCCATTGGTGTGATGCACACTGTCTGAGAGAAAAATCACAATATCTCTTTGGAACCCCCATCAATTTGAGTGTATGTGGTATCTACTGAAAGCTATGAATTAGGTGGTTTGAACAAGACTAAAATCAGCAAGAACAGTGCAGCTGTGCCTGCAGGACATGGGTAATGATAGTAGATTCCTTCCCAAAAAGTCACACTAGTAACAAAAAGTCAAAAATAGTAAAGTGTTATTTACCTGATGTTGCTGTTTTCTGACAGGGATGACAGGGAGTCTGTCTTTGATCTCCATGTCGGTGTTAGTCTCTTCAGATGGCTGAGGAAGATCAAAGAGAGTCTCGAAGAAGGGTGATGCGAGGGAGAGAAAGAGCCTGAAGACACGGAAATCTGCGCCGTCGGATGAACGCAGAATCACGTCAGCTTTTTCATGATCAAAGGGTGGTAATGCGACAGTGGGTGAGTCTTCTGAGTCGGACATCTCACAGTTCCACGGCTGGAGTGTTTCCTTTTGTCAGACTCGTCTGGATAGTGGAGAAATTCGCGCACGCATCCGAGGTAAAATATGAAGAGTCGATGCCTTTCGTCTCTCGCATTACATGTCAACTTTATAGGTGGGACAAGGTGTGTGCATGCCCCGATTTTGGGGTATGACCAATGCGAAGTTCTTCTGGTTTCGATTCCCACTTTCGTTTGCGCCTGTAAAAGCAACAGGAAAAGACTAACACGATTGGTATTTGAGGCACCAGAGTACGGTTTATCGATCCTTATGAATGAAATGCAACAGGCACTTGAAGACCTCGTGTCAGGCATGACCCGCATCGAGGCTAGCAGCTGCACGTCCCCAGAATTATATCTGGCACAAATTCCATCAACATGAAATTGCCAGCTCTGGAATGGGCTCACCTGGACTGCAGAGGGAAGGCTCCAACTGCCTTTTTGTCTGAAGCCTTTCGGTTTATCGATCCCTTTTCTTTTGGAGGCAGGGCCAGGAGGGTTATCGATGGGCGAAGATCCACTGTCGAGCTTAAATGGGAAAATATCGGGACGTCCGAGCGAGTCGACAAACTTAGGGTGTACGGAGGTTGTATGTGTGCCGCTTCCTCGGCGATACATGTGAGGGGGAAAGTTGTAGCGTGACTTCCGCTGTTGCAGGGTAATTAAAGACATGCACACATGCACTGCGAAATAACAGGGATATGGAACAGGAGCTATCTCTGATCCAGATGTGAGGAGATCATTAGGATGGACTATCTGGCCACAAGCTGCGAAGCAGGTCTAGAAAAAACCAAAACCATTGCGATATGGCAGGCAAGGGCAAGTATACCGGTATGAAAACGCAGGACTTCCAAAGGCCGTTAGGAGACAGATAAAGGCAATAGTGCATACCTATGAGCCAAAAATGTGGCGATAAAGATTCAGTGAGTCATGGCGAGTATCCATCACATGCTGTTGTCATTTTCGGCAACTGTACTTTGCACCAGAAGAATATGCAGCACTATCATTAAGATTCATCGTGAAGCCTGGAGGAGGGGATTACTTCGGTTCAGTGGAACCTGGACAGGGGTACAGGAAAGGTTTCGTCAACACCCCCAGAGTGAATCTTGCTAGCGAATAAGATCTTCCCATTAGGTTTCCTGGGCAGAAAAGAAGTTCTGAACGAAGAATAACGGTCCGTTCATGATCAGATCCATTTTTTGTAGCTCGAAGGTCTGTGAGTACTGAAAGCCTTAGTGTTGCAACAACCTACCCCGTCGCAAGTCAGCGTACTAACCACAATCGACGTTGCACACCTAACTAATGTCACCTTTCGGTTGTCCCAACGTTGACCATACTTACCTCTCAGAACGTAGTACCATAGGTAATACTGCCGCGTCGTATCCATGCTCTGAAGACAGAGCCACATTCACAGAACAAGTGCACTATCTTACACGTTTATCAGCCATGGAAATGCTACGAGGTAAGGCAAGAACAGAATTTCTCTTATAATCACTTGCTTTTTTTTTTTAACCTGACAGTGGCCAGGCACAAGTATAAGGAAACCTGAATGTATCTCAATCCACTGCGTTCCAGACTTCAAAATTTCATAGCCAGCTCAATCTACCATATGGCTAGTCAGGTGAATGACGTCTTCAGATGTAAGTGAAAAGTGGTCACCTTTGAGGTCACCTCTTCGACTTTGCGAGTAAAGAGAATGTTGACTTCTCGCAGGCGACCTGGTGCTACTTTGCGACACTTGTTACAGCCGCGTTGCCGAATAGCGTGTATTGTCTTTTCGATGTTCAACTGGACCATTTCTGCGCAGGGTTTGTCCCACAAATCGAAGAAAGTGGAGTCTATGAACGCCTGCCACCAATCACCAAGGGCCGGCGAATCCCAATCTTCATCATGTTGGCATCGACAGGATACGCCATGACCCTGTTTGAGTTCATCTGGGATCCAAGAAAGGTTGCGCTTAAAAAAATAGACAGCATTGCTGCACATTCGATGGTATGTCAATAACGAAAGGAGTTCCGCAGAAGTAATTAGCTCGATCTCCTCGAACCACCCCAGAATCAATGGCTCCCGAAGAGTGTATTTAGCAGCAAGCTCACACTCGTCCTGCATGCGGGTGCGGCAGGCGATTGCGAAGCAGCGCAGCGAATTCGTTTCCAATATTTTTGGAATGAAAAGAGATTTGCGCACCGCCTGCTGGATGGCATCCAGGGAATACTTTTTTGCTGCGTCGAGAACATCAATGACCTCTCTGAAATCCTCGAGTACAGGGTCCTCCGCCAGGGTGCAGGGGTAACAGAAGCGGAGGAGGGAACCTGGTGTTTTGCTGTCTTCGTCCTCCCAGCTTTCTTCTCATCCAATATCCATTCGATCAAATTTTCCAGCTGTCCATTTGCTGTGACCACAGGGCCCAGGTGAGGCAGTTTGCATGAAGGGAAAAGTGCAGTATCATTGGGCACAAACACATATTGCGCAGAGGAACGGGAGAAATGAAGAGCAATTGGCAAGAACACTTGCCTTTTATCAGAACGATAGTAGCTTTTGAGGAAGATTGTTATCGAGGGGCTCAGTTGTCTAATAGACAAGTGAAGAACGAATGTAGAATTTGATGAGGACTGAGGAAGAAATCCTCAGGTTTATATACATGAGTAGGTATGCACGGACCAGTAGCATAAAAGGAAACTACTACTCAGTATAGTAAGGAATAATGCAGAAGGTCATGGAATATGATGTATAATATGATGTCATAGTGACATCATTGTGGAGCTGATTGCTAAGGACCATCATGTGATAGAGAACGTGTTGATACATGTGTAAATCTAGATCAGTCTAGATGTTGGAACTATTAAGATATTTCCAACACTCCCCCTCGCTCTAAAATGGTAAGGTCACAAGACCCATTGACGAGCGATTAGTTTCGAACTTCTGCCAAGTTAACGATTTAGTAAGACCATCTGCTTTTTGTTTGTCAGTTTGAACATATTCAATACTGAACAAATTATCTTGAACACATTCGCGAATGAAGTGCCATTGGACGTCAATATGTTTCGAACAACCATCTGATACAGGATTTTCTGCTATAAAGCGGGCTCCCATATTATCGCAGTATAATATTGTCTTTTCGGTCTTCAACTTGAGTTTGTCAAATAGCATAGAAAGCCATTTGATTTGTCTGGCAGCATCACATAAAGCCATATATTCGGCTTCAGTGGAGGAAAGTGCGATAGTCTTCTGTTTCCAAGATCGCCAAGAGATGAGAGAATTGCCAAGATACATGGCATAACCGGTGGTAGAATGACATGTGTCTTTATTTGCAGCCCAATCAGAATCTGCAAAGCCATAAATTCGAGATTCAAGTCCTGAATAATATAAAGCCAATTTTGGAGTTGATGCAATATAGCAAACTATATGCAAGGCTTTATTTCGGTGATCTTCAGTAGGATTTGCCATATATTGAGACATGCGAATAACTGCAAAGGCAATATCGGGACGAGTACAAAGAGCCATATAGAGCAATGACCCTATGATTGATTGATACTGTGACCGAAGAGAAGGTGTGGCTTGATAATCTGATGTTGCTTTTTCCGGTTGATATCCCGAGGGTAATGGAGTGCGAACATTTCGAGCAGTCTCCATGTTAAACCTTTGGATAACCCTTTTGACATAAGGTATCTGGTCGAGATAAATTTCTTTCTTCGACCTATCTCAGTGAATTTGAATGCCAAGATATTCCTTGACTTCACCAAGATCTCGGGATTCCCATTTCTTCATAAATTGTTCCTTTTTGGCTTTGAGAAGATGTTTGTCCGATCCTAGAAATAGTCCATCGTTGACATAGATGAGAAATATGACGATTCCAGCTTTGGATATGTGGATATAGATCCCAGCATCCACTTTAGAACGAATATAGCCCATTGCAAGTAGTGATTGATGAAGGGCTTTATTCCATGCCAGTGCAGCTTGCTTTAAGCCATACAGAGCTCTAAGCAACCAATAAACCTTGTGTTCTTGACCCGAAACTTTGAAACCTTCTGGTTGCTCCATATAAATTTCTTCATCCAGATTGCCATATAAAAAGGCAGTTTTGACATCCAGGGCTTCTGTGTCCCAATTTCTTTGGGCAGTGAAAGCAAGTAAAATTCGAACAGTTTCGAAACGAGCCACTGGAGAGAAGGTGTCTTCAAAGTTGGTACCAAATTCTTGTGTAAAGCCTTTAGCCACAAGATGAGCTTTGTAATGACCATCGCTTTTGATAGTGAAAACCCATCGACACTTTACAGGTTTCTGATCTCAAGGAGGATCCACCAAAGTCCATACTTGTCTTTCTTCAATAGACTTTAACTCATCTTTCATTGCGTCGAACCATCTTTTTTGTAAATCAGGAGATAACTTCAGCACATCTTTGTAATGTTCCGGTGATTCTTTGATCTGGGCAGCCAATGCAAACTCAAAAGGATGCATTTCCAATTGTTGATCTGGCATGCCTTTTGGAGAATCAGGAGTATCCAGAATAGGAGTAAGTGGAGATCCAGGAGATAGAGGAGTAGTTCCTTGTGGATGTTCAGTCCACTGATGAGGAACTTCAGGAGGAATCATTGCAGGAGGTAACCTTGGAGAAGGAGGTCTGCGCTCTTCTGCATATCTCCGAATATCTTCTCTGGAATTGCGAGCATGCTGCTCAGCATTACGAATCTACTGTTGTGCTTGGTCCCGATTTTGTTGAATATCTTGTTCAATTTGAACTGGAGGTCTATCTCCATAAATATTTCCAGGACGAGATACTGGTATAAAGCGACATTTTGGACGAGGTTCTCTGTCATTGGCAGGTGGTTGAGCTCTACGAACATTATGCGAGTCTCCTTGAATAAACTCAGGTTGATAAGGATGCCAAATATGACGAGGGTTGACTGGTGGTACAGCAGCAGGTGCTCTTCTTTGTTGTTGAGCTCTAGGCTGGTCCGCAGCTCTCTGCTGTGGGTTTTGTGGTGGAGTATTTGGACAAGGTGGTTGGCCATGATGAGGTGCCGGTTGGATCTGATCAGGATCCGGTAATGAATGAAGGCTTTCTGAGTCAGAAAAAGTTGATTCATGGTCGTCTTCGATATTGGGGTCAAAGGTTTCGGATTGTGAGTGACCAGAGCAAAAAGGAAAAGAGTCTTCTATGAATTTTGCAGTATGAGAAAGAATAATCTTTTGTCCATGAGGGAATCGATATCCTTTTGTATTAGGTTCGTAGCCTAGAAAGATCATTTTGACTGCATGAGGTTCCAGTTTGTCTTTTCTTTGTTCTTTGGGAACCCATACAAAGGCTTTGCAGCCAAAGGTGTGAAAATAAGTGATGTCTGGGATCTTTCCTAAGAAAAGTTCCACTGGAGTCTTGAAAGTAATCCTCTTGAGAGGAGTTCTATTGTACACATGAAGTGCACAATCAAAGGCAAAGTTCCAGAAGTGTTTAGGAACGCAAGCATGGTGTTGAATGGTCCCAGCTTTTTCGGAAATAGTCTGGTTAAAGTGTTCTGCTCGACCATTTTGTTGTGGTTGGTCAGCAATAGATAGTTGATGGGTAACACTGCATGAAGAAAGGAGCGCTTTGAAAGTAACACCCATAAATTCTCCCCTGTGATCCGAACGAAGCGCAAGCAAGTGATGCCCAGTAGTATTTTGCATGGACACCATCCAGTTGGCAAAAGCAGTATAAGTGTCGGATTTGTTGCGAAGGTAGAGACAAAAACCATAAGATGAATAATCATCCAAGAGGGTTAAGATATATTTGGACCAAAAATAAGATTCAACAGGAAGTTCAAGAAGGTCAGCATGGACCAACTCGAGAGGTTTAGTTGCACGTTTCCATGATGGTTTAAAAGCTTCGGAAGAGAGTTTGCCTTGGGCACAACCTTTACAAGAGGTAGTCTCCCCCTGTAATTGTAGATCTTGTTTAAGGCCTAATTGGCGAATATGTCGAAGAACTGCATTAGCAGGGTGACACATGCAATTATGCCAAAGAGACTCTTGTGATTCCTTGACCAAAGGGCAAAGGACCCCATAGGCAGTGGTAGGTGGAAGCAGTACACCCACAAACCAATGAAGAGGTGAAGTCGGTGAAGCTATTTTTGCTTCAAGGACAATCTGGCCATTTGGTGCTCTGATAGTCTCGCCAGTAAGTGTCGCTGTGCTCCTGTACCCGTTATTAAGGAGTGCATTTCAAGAGCATAGTTGCTTTGAAAATAAAGGACTATAAACAACATTATGGAGTACAAGGTTACTGCCATTTTCCAGGCGAATAACCACTGTTCCTTGACCAAGAAGTTGAACCTTTTTAGTGCCTGCAGTAGAGGCCAAAGGTTGATTTTTGAATTCTCAATAAGTCAAGAAATCAGTTTTAAAAGGAGTCACATGATGTGATGCTCCAGAATCCAACATCCATAAAGACTCACCCTTTGGTAGGTTCTTTTTATGATTCGCATATGACAATGGTACACCCAAGGGGTAACAGTCATAAGAATCGAAGGCATGACCATTGAATTGCATGGGTAAATACCCAGAGGCAGATTTGTTGGGATCATACTCAATGTCTGGATTATGCTTTATATGAAAAGGTTTACATACAGGTTTTTCTGGCACAGATTCGTGAAATTGTGATAAGGACATAGGGCGATTCTTCTTTTTAGAAGATCTTATAAGTACAGATTTTCGGAGAGATTCTCTGTCTCTACAATTCTGTCCTCGAAATTGAGGGGAAGACAGATCATGAGTCCATTTGTTCAGCAAAGCTGAATCGCCATAGTCCTCAACATTCCTAACCTCCACCAAGTTCTCACCAGCCAAAATGGAATTTCCCACTCATATTGAGGGTTCAAGGGAACCACTCGTATATGTCCCGTCCTGCTCAGCAGGGGGAAGGGAAATCGTCCTCGGATAAGAGTCTGAGTACTTCCGTTGCTTTGGTTCCCAAATGGAAACCTCCAGCAGGTTGCAAGTTGTGGCTGTTCGGCAACAAATAGAACATTGGCAGGAATTAGAGCCGGGAATGTTAACACGAATCTTGACTGACTCAACTTGATCTGGTTGGAAATTTTGAATTTCCTCCAGATACCAAGGAGCTAGATTTCCGGTTGTAACATCAACTGGATAATTGGGACTATCCCCAATTGTTTCCATCACCATAGTTAAATCCTGGCGAGAAAGATCAGGATCATACATCTCGGTGTCGGTAATGACATGTTGACCAAGATAAGTATTAAGGTCATTAGAGTAAACTCGTTCAACTGGAATTGGATCCGGGAGAGAATACTCAGGAGATGGTTTGTGGGAAGGTATATTGATAGCCGTTATGT